AAGTTAAACTACCCTGGTTATAAGCAGGTGCCGCACCTACGCCTACTCATGCTTACCAACCGTACCGAGACAACAGTGCACAGACATCAGGGGTTGTATTGTTCATTTTGACATCCATCGGACCCCACTTTTCAGACACTTTTTTGAGCGACTGTACGTACAGTAATAATTAAAACCACTGACCTGACTAACTCTTCTAGCAAATCCTTCTGGTCCTTAACCAAAAACATTTGTAATAACTTCTGTACTCCCTCTTTCCTCCTCTCCTCCAACCTGCTCACTCTATAGCCAACTCTCCACCTGATAAAGCCAATCTCTTTGGCACCTTCCTACTGAACCTATGCACTTTCCTATAATCTCCACTCGTAGGGTTGCTGGTGTGTCATCAAATCTGGATGTGAGTAAGGAGTATGGACCAGACGGAATACTCCCTCGTGTTCTGAGGGAGTGTGCTGAAATTCAGGCCCCTGTGCTTGCTTGGCTCTTTTGCCTTTGCCTCAAAACCCAAACTTTTCCTTCTTCTTGGAAGCATGCCTCGGTTCTGCCCATCCCAAAGAAGGGTGACCATTCTCATCCCTCTAACTATCACCCCATTGCCCTAACTTCATCCTTCTCTAAGATTTTTAAAACTATCTTAAACTCTCATTTTCTCCATCACCTTGAACGCCTTTTTCTTTAGTCGTATCACCAGTGTGGGTTTTGCCAGGCGAGATCTACTGGTGATCTGCTCTCCTACTGCATCCATATTTGGTCATCCTCTCTTAGGGATTATGGGAAAACTTTTGTCGTGGCCCTCGACATCTCAAAGCATTTGACGGGGTATGGCACAAGTCTGCTTTCTAAATTTCCCTCTAATGGTTTCTCTCCCCCACTTTGTTCTCTAATTTCTAGCCTCCTTGAGAACTGCTCCATGGCAGTTATTTTCGAGCAATCGATCTCTCGCCCTTTCTCTACCAATAGTGGTGTTACACAGGGTTCTGTTCTTTTACCTACCCCCTTCCCTCTTTTTATCAATGATTTACTTCACGCTACTACTTATTCTAGCCATTCTTATGCTGATGATTTTACTCTTCACTCTTCTTCTCATTTTTTCCCTTCCCCCTAACTCAGAAACTAGATCTGTTTCTAGAGCTGATATCGTTTCACGAAACTAGATCTGTTTCTAGAGCTGATATCGTTTCATCTATCAATGTGGATCTGTGCAGCATCTCCGAATTCGCAGTTAGAAATTTGGTTAAATTCCATAGTAATAATACACAGTATTTACCAATTACACATTCCAAAATAGAAGATCTCCCCCCCACCAATCACATTTCAGGATGCGATCATTCTGCCAAATTCTAAAGTAGATATGCTAGGCCTCGCCATTTCCTCTAATATGTCATAGAAGCCACACATCCACAACATTACTCAAGCTGCCTCCCGAAAGCCGGGAATGCTGAAGCTACTTCAGTCCCGAGTGGTTGCTTCAAATTTATTAGGGATTCATTCGTCCTAACTTGGAGTACTGCTCTCTTATCTGGGGTGGCACTTCCTCTGTCCAACTGTTAGATAGGGTGGAATCAAAGGTATTTCATCTCATTACTCTCCTCCTTTCGTTGATAATCTCTCTTCCATTTCTCTTCACTGCAATGTTGCTTCACTCTCTCTCTTACAGGTACTGTACTTTAACGGGCATTTTTGGTGGATTGGGCATCCTGTGTACCGCTGGCAAGGCCGTGGGCTCGTAACACTCGTCTTGCCTATATGAATTGGCTACTTGTGCAATTAACCAGGCCGTTCACATATATTTATTATTTGGGTTTAAGTAACGAAACCCAAACGGTAGTTCCTTGTTTTATTATAAAAGGATTGTATGTATAATTCCTGAGTGTAGATCGACCGTAAGTTCCACTGTATAGGAGTGAATGAGAAAGGGACGGCGTTTATGTTTTATAAACGTTAGGTCATGTCCTTACGATATAACTTTCTGTGAGCGACTAAGGAGTAAGGGCCTCGCTGTACGGGCTTACAGATATGGTGATGATGGGTCTCTCCCTCCTGGGAGAGCTGCCCTCTCACGTGTACAGCTCATGTCTTACTCATAGACAGTGGAAAGTTACAGGGTGGTGAATCTGAATATAATATCAGATGTATTGACCCATTTATATAAGATGTTCTGTTGATGAGACAGGGGCCCATTACACCACGATACCCACCGTTTCTGTGCATATGTCGGTGACACTAGAATAACCGGTTAAAGTACATCCTTCTTTCCTCACACAGCCAAACTGTGGAATGCTCTGCCTTCATGTGTTTCCATACTCATACAATGTCTCTCTTTAAAAAGCTGGTTTTCCGGCATTTTTGTGGTGTAGATTAATACAGTCACTCCCCGACTTACGACCTACTCGACTTACGACCACCGGGACATACGACCATCCCAGTCATACCAATTTTTTTCAAATTATGTATTTTCAACTCCAGACGTTAGTGATTGCGCTGTATACTGACAAAATTTTCGTTTGTAATTCCATTTAAAATGGCTGACATGCTTAAAAGTGAGAGTTTTGTGGTGCTGAGAAGAAAAAGAGACACCCATTGTAGATTTTCTATGTATTATCTCCGCATTTTTTACTTACAACCAATTCGACTTAAGACCTGGATTTAGGTCCCTAACCCCGTCATAAGTCGAGGAGTGGCTGTATAGTCTTTTTCTCTTCTACATATTTTAATGTCCTTTTACTCTTTTTTTTTTGCCCCCCTAGGCCCAATTGTGGGTCGATGACCTGTGCCCGGGTGGACTGTTCTCCGTAAAAAATTAAAAGAAAAAAGATAAGACAGTGATGAATAAATGTAACACTTACTTTTCGAGATGAGTTGATAATTTGTTGATGATATTCCGAAAGTGTAATGGTTACACTGCTAAATGAAGTAAAAACCCACATTGGAGGAATAAAAGACAAAATCTTGGAATTGGTATATTAGGAGCCTCTTCAACCAACTAAAAGAACAAAGCAAGGGAAAAAGACATAGAACATGGGAATCAAATCACATAACCTGTCTCCTGAGTTGAGGAAGGATGGGGATTAGGGATATTCTTTTTGATGACAGTATACAGTAAATGCTTTCTCCTACTAGTTTAAAAATAATGTAAAATAATGGCTTTATTCAATTTTAAATTATCAGTAATAAATATTCACAAATAACAATAAGAAATAAACCATCAATATTCCAGAAAAATATAAGGGACAGCACACCTGACTTATATAAGTGTAGGCAAGTGACCCAAACACCAGCGATTGTCTTCACCACACAATTAAATAAATCACTTTTTACAGTTACTATTAAATTTGGCTATGAATTATTAATACAGTAAGACCCCACTAAGTTGAACTACCGTATGTACTCGTCTATAATTCTACCTTGTTTATAGGTCGACCCCGATTTTTTGACCAAGAAATCATTAATTTATGATATGCATCGTTTATAGGTCGACTCAAGTTTTTGAGGGTAATGGAACAACAAAACCTTCAGAAAAAGTTTTTGAGGGTAATGGAACAACAAAACCTTCAGTAAAAACACTCTAGTTCCTATAAACTGAGGGCCACCGTCCCTGAAACACCGAGTGACGAAGGCAAATTGTTTACCATTTATTATTACGACACTTTACACTGAAACGCGAGTAGTTTCAACAAAAAAGTATGTATTCAAGTCAATTAGGAGGGAATATTATTGTAATACAACAGTTTTTTAACCGAAAACCTTTCGAAAAGCGATTACGGTAACATCTTTTGAACAACAAAAGAAAGCGAAAGTCGATTGTTTTCGTCATGGTTTTATCCCACTTTCCACTGTAATACGTACGTCATTTCAGCAAAAATATTACATTTCCATGAATGTATTATATCAAGCACAGTAACATTATTTTAACCGAAAACTATTAAAAGAACGATTGTTTACGTCATGTATTTTATCCATTTTACAGTGAAATACATCACGTTTCAGCAAAACTACTATTTATTTCTGAGAATATATTCATTCAGGCACAGTTAAGGTGAAATATACTTGTGATGTAACAGTTTTTTAACTGAAAACGATTCGTAAAACACGTGTACCGTCTAGCTGATACGGCAGAGCCCTGGTCGCGGAGGCTTTGTTTTTGCATCGGCCCTTCTTAAGCAGCCTTTAATATTAGCGTACGTTGAAATTGTGTTTACCGGTATATTCTTTTTCTCTTGCTTCATATTTTCCAGAAATATGACAACTTTGTATATAATACAATGTTACGGTACTTTTAATTTACAAGTATTCATTTTTAAAAATACAGAAGACACCAAACAAATACCAGTACGGATATTTGCGTGACTCTCCTGCCAAAAAAGACCAAACGGCCGGTACTCTCTCTCTCAGCCCTACCAAAAATAGCCCAACGACATCTTTCTTGTTTATTCTCTTCCAATTTCTCACTTTAACTGGTATTTTCTACTTCATATTGCCTACATCATATAAACTACAGTATTGAGGTTAGACACTGTTATAAATTTGATTACCGGTGTACTGTTCCAAGCGTATAGTCATTGGAGTGTGTGTACTAGTATATGTGTGAGATGGTGTAGCCTATGTGTGTTAATTCCTGTTCTGTACATTTCAGGTATTGGTGCCTTCTGTATTGAGACAATAAACACCAACAAAATCAAACAGTACATTACTGGCCGACGGTGCATACAGTAAATTGGCGACGAGGATCAAGCAAATACATCTATTCACAACATGGCCACTGCTATACCAACACTACAACCTCTAGAGCAGTGGTTCTCAACCTTGTTTGCCCCATGCACCCCTTTCACCATATGTCAGAATGTCATTCCCCCTCCTTTCCAAGATTGTCTGCCTCAAAAAGTGCATTCCAAATAATATGCATATAATACTGAAAATCCTTTATTTTTTCCATATTAGTATCAGTTTCCCTGAAAACCTGAAGGGGGAAATTCCCCCCTGGTTGAGAACCCCTGCTCTAGAGCTAGAGGAGACTGACCAAACACAAGCATGGACGGACTGGATAGAGCATGCTGAAGATGCCTTCATTGCATTCAACATAACTGAAGATGCCAAAAGACTAGCACTCATCAGATTCTATGGAGGAAAGAAACTGAAGGAAATCATGAAGACATTGCGTCCAGCGATACCGACAGACAAAAAAGAACCAACGTTCAAAACAATGAGAATAGCACTTGATGAATACTTCGGTGATAAAACAAATGAATTATTTGAACGACACAAGTTCCGGATGCTGGCGCAGGAGGTCGGGGAAAGTACACACAACTACGTAACCTGCCTACGTACACAAGGGGCCAAGTGCAACTTCGACAACTACAACCTTGACCAAGCCATCATCGACCAGTTGACGGAGAAATGTACTTCACATAAGATGCGTCGTGCATACCTGAAGGAGACAGACATAACAGTATAGAAAGTTCTACAAATTGCTTACACTTATGAATCAACTGAAGCCCAAGCTTGCCAGATGGAACAAGATGAAGAAGGCACAATTTGAACAAGGTAAACACAAGATACAAACAACAACAGCAGCGGGACTGGGAAAGCAATCGAAGACAACAAAGTAAGGATATACCACGCGTCCCAAAACTGAACTGTCTTGGGTGTAATGGCACTGGCCATCGACATGGACAGAGACAATGTCCTGCATTTGGAAATAATTGCAACTACTGTGGAATCGTCAACCACTTTGCCACCGCGTGCAGGAAAAAACATAACCGACAAGAGAGGGTCAGACAACTGACGGAGGACAGTTTGACGGGTAACGACAACAATCACGTACACCAGGTGTCGTCCAAGAGCACAAAAGAATCTGACGATGGCCATACCTATGTGTTCAGAGTGACATCACACGACACTGCAGAGGAAAAGGTGATGATAGAAGACGTACCGGTCGGAATGTTGATTGACTCAGGGGCAAACGTCAATCTAATTGACGGGGGCACATTCGACCACATCATCAAAATACGACCGAACATAGTACTCAAGGAAACGAATATCCAACCTAAAGCGTATGGAAACATTCCCATCCCACTCCGAGGAGAGTTCTTTGCAACACTGTCAAATGGATCGAAGAGAGTCGCACACAAAATCCTGGTAACAACAGCGAAACAGGGAGGGAATATTCTGAGTAAGCGAGCCAGCTTAGATCTTGGCCTTCTCAGTATCCACCAGAATAACCGTATTACGACCAGTGAGATGCCTTCATCAACCCGGAGGATACTGGAACAACATCTACCAGCGCTGAATGGACTGGGGAGAATGAAAAACTTCCAACTCAAGCTCGACATCGACCCAAATGTCAAACCCGTCGCACAGCCACCTCGGAGAGTACCATTTCACATTCGAGGTCCAGTCGAACAGAAGATACAAGAAATGCTAGATAATGATATCATCGAGAGCGTGGAAGGCCCTACACTGTGGGTGTCCCCATTGGTGACTGCTCCAAAACCAGATGGAGATATCAGGATCTGCGCAGACCTCCGCATAGCAAACAAAGCGGTGAAACGCATGCGCCATCCTATACCAACCGTGG